ACAGTTGTTCCTAGAATGTTTAGTTTAGAATTGTTCGGCGTCTCAAGGTAGAGTTCGCTTTCGGAAGTTAATTTATTACATTTAATAGTATTTTTGTTTATAACATTTACACTCGCCCCTGTATCTAATAATAATGTAGTAGTTTGGTCATTTATTTTTCCTTGTATTTCTATTTTGATTTTTTCTTTATTATTATCATAATAAGTATAAATGGTATTATTTGTATTTGTATTTTTGACGATATTTAAAGGTATCTTACTGGTAATGTATTTGTGTTCCTGTGCAGACCCAGTTATCTGCGGAACTATTAGTTTTTTTGTACAAAGGTATTACAGTTTCTCTTTATGTGTCCCGGAATTCCACACAGAAAACATATCGGTGGCCCTTGTTGATTTAAATAATTATGATTAGTATGGGGAATTGTTGCCTGATTACTTTGTGTAGGGTGTAGTGTGTTGGCTAATTGGTTATTATTTGTATTATTATAATTATAATTTTGATAAAAGTTTGGTCTAGGAAACTGGGTGTTTGTCATCTGGTTATTATATGTGAGATAGTTGTAGTTCAGATAAAAGTTTGGTCTTGGATTATTTTGATAATATTAATTTTGATTATTAAATATAGGTGGTTGGTAGTGTTGATTTCTATTATAAAAGCTGAATCCATTGTTATAGCTAGTTTGCTCTTCGTTCTGATAATTGTTGATACTATTGGGAATGTTATTTTGGGTTTGTCCAACTTTAATTTGACTTATATGATTTTTTAAAACCTCCATTTGTCTAGTCAATTTCTCTACTTCTCCATTTACCTTGTCCTCCGTTCTCAATAGATTTGTTACTTCTAGTTTCTCTAGAGTTTTTTTAATGCTTGCGATCGATGTATTATCTGCTAACCTTATTAACTGAAAGGTTTCTTTGGGTACTCCTTTTAGAATGTGTTCACATATTTCTTCTTCGGTCATATTCTTGTTTATTTTATAACATATGCCTACTATTTTAATTATGAATTCTTTATATGTTTCTCCTTTTGCTAGTTTCTGATTTTCCAATTTTGCCCTTAGTAAGTGTTTATTTCCTACTAATGTAAATCTGTTATTAATTCACTTTTGACTTCGTTCCATGTTATATTTTCGTTTTTTGATTTTAGTTGTTCAAAAAAATCTTCTGCTGAGTCCTTAAGATATAGTTGTAGAATAATTACTTTGTGTTCGTCGTTCCATTCGTTCACGACACCTATTAGATCAAATTTTTTTATGAATTTATCTATATCCTCATTTTCTTTTCCTGAGAAAATATCGGGTTTATGGTTAAACTCCATTTTTATACTTTGTTTATTTTTTAAAGATTTTTTTGATTTTTTTTCAATAATATTCTTAGTGTTGACCTGTTCACCCGAAGTATTATTGTGGGTTTCTACCTTGAAATGTATAGGATCTGCTGTTAATATATTTTTTTTAGTATCTATATTTTCTGGTTCAGTTTTTTTTTTTTATTAGAATCGTCTTCAACAACAGTTACGTTCAATAAATTTTGATCACTATTTTGTAAATTTTCCTCTGTAAAAACTAAAAGTTAAATCTGTTTCGTTTAAGCTATCCTCAGCGTCTTCGTCGTTCCTAAAACTTTTTAATGCTGATTTTGCAAGATTTCTTAATTCATTAATTGTCGATGAAATGTCACTATGTATATTACGAAATTCTAAGAAACCCACTATTTCCGGTTTATTTAATAAATTTATCCACGCAACTGTTCGCTGGGAAATTATAAATTCAAATTTCTTTTGTGCTGGTAATTGATTAAAATCTTCCTTTTCTAAAGTCTCAACTACGTATAGAGAGCACAGTGTAAATTTTTGAACACGTTTTGCTGACAGAGGTATCTTTCCAAACCTGGAATTTGAAAAATAGTTACTTAAATCGACTTCTTCGATTTGCCGTAATAAATTTATTAGATTAATTTCGTTTATTTCGGAATTAAAAGTTTCATTCAGATATAATATATTTGTTCTATCCACTTTTGTTATTTGGTTATTCACGTTACGTTTTATGTAAAACTTGTTGTCCATTGCAACATTGGTTATGTTCACTTGCAATAAAATAATTCTCTTATAATTTCTCTATTATGTACTAATATGTAATTTACTCCTATTCTTAAAACTTAAAAGTTTAGGAATAAATTAATTTCACAGAGCCATTTTTGTATTTTATTCATGTCGGATTGAACACTGGCAAATACTTCATCCAAGGATTGGTCTTCAACGAAAAGTACTGTATCATTTATCGTTTTCAGTGTGTATTCAAGTTATTAATTTGGTTTATATGTATATTAAACAGTGTAGGCGAGATAGAGTTAGCCCTTGAGGTACACCACATATTATTGACGTTTCTTCACTTAATTCATTGTTTAATCGAACGTGTTGTTTTCTATTTTTTAAGTATGAACTTAATAAATTCTGAGCCGTTCGATTGATACCAAGTGGTGTTAACATTTTGTAGTAATATTTTATGATCTATAGTATCAAATGCTTTTGCTAGATCCAAGTAAACAGTTGAACATTTTTTTTTATTTTCGAAAGAATTATAAATATAGCTTGATACTGTTGAAATTGCTTGTTTGGTACTTTTACCAGGTCTAAACCCGAATTGGGTACATGATAGAAGATTATTACTTTCAAGGTAATGGACTAATTCTTTTTTAATAATTTTTCAATAGATTTGTAAGATTGGGCGATAATTTTCAATGTTAGATGTGTCACCTTTTTTGTGTATTGGTGTTATTACTGAAATTTGAAAAGCATTCCGGAATAGTAGATGTTGTTATAGTTAAATTGAAAATGTGTGATAATGGTTTAATCAATGAATGTATATTTAATTTGAGCATTTTTACTGAAATTCCATCATTTTCTTTCTTTATTTTAAATTAATTTATTTTTAAATCAGTATTGTCTAGAATTTCATTAGTATTTGAAAAAGTTGGTGAATGTGAGGGTGGGAGGTATCACATTTACTATTGAAGTGCATGTGAACGTTTTCAGCTCGGTTCGTTGTTCTTGGGCTATTGTCTGGTTCACTAGCCCATAATTCTGGCCTAAAATCAATATCAGAATCATTATGATTTTTTAATATATAGTCTGGAAAATCCATACTTACATTATTGGTAGGAGCTATTGGAATTATTTCAGTAAATGCATCCGGAACTTCATTAGAGTTTAAAAAGGTAAACCGAAAATGTGTTTAATAGCCATCTTCCAATTTCAGAATCATTTTCGAGTATTCTTTTAATAATACATTATTTTTTTTCAAACGCCTGAATCAAATGTGTCTTTTAACAATTGACGGATGCTCAATTGATATAAATAATACTGATCATGTACGATCAGGCAGCTTAAGATACCCTGTACACCCAAACCTGTACCTACCAGCTGGTTTTCATTGTTCACTATTTTGTGCGCAAACGAGTTGTCACGTCATTTCAACTTAACTTATTGAAAGATATGCCAACAACGATGCAGGCTAATTTATATTGTACTTACTAGGTATAGACTTATTACCCAAAATGTATTTTCTCTCTACGCTCGATAATTATTAGTCTTTATATTTTCCATCTAATAATCTAATACTTTATGCATATTGTATACCCAATAATACTAAGCTAATACTTAAATTATTTTAATTTAAGTTTAAATATTTATAGACATTCTTGTATCTAAAAACAATGTATATAAAACAAATCCTGAAATCCTCAGTCATACATAAAATATTTAATATAACGAAAACATTTCTATATTTCATTTAAACAATGCATTAATAATAATATTACATCGCCTAATAGTGGCCGACACTTAAGACCAATTAAAAAAAAAAATTTTTCCCGACAAAAAATTATATAGTCAGGCCAAAATGCAATCTTGATACATTTTAGGTACTTATGCATACTGAAGCATACCCTTCGACATATCAAAAAAACTGTTCGCGGCTCATCGTCTTTGTATTATTCTTGATTTTTTCTGCTTTCATAAGTTTGAAATTCTGCATTGATCTTTGGACAGTATCTATATATTTCTCAGTACCTTTCTTTCGAAGGTCATTCACCGTAGGTCTGTGATCATGTTTCGATCGTATATGTGATTATTGGTCGTAAACTGCTATGATAGAATAGTGTCTTTGAGTTATGTGACTCTGTGAAAGTAGTTTTGATTTAAGAAGTTTAATTTTGCTATAGTAGCACCGATGGCTGCATGTTATTTGCTCATTGATTTATTCGCACATGTCCTTGTTGCTATTTATGATAATGCTTATAGGTACTTAAATACTTCCACTTTCTTGAAATTTTAATCATTTACTGTTATAAAATTGTCTATGTTTGAGCTTCTTCTTGCAACCACATTAAATATTTCGTCTTTTCCCCATTTACACGTAGAGTCTGGACAAGTATTGTTGACTTCAATTCGTCATCTGCTTACGCCAATATTACTCGTTCACTACATAATATTTCCATTTTTCGACTATCCCATACTTTTATCATTTAATTTTCTAATGGTTGATTCAGTAGAGTGGATGATAAAGCATTAACTTTGTAGAAGACCTGACTTTACCTCAAAGGTTTCAGACATTTTCTGCAGGAGGCGAACTATGCTTACATTTTTATTATTACATCCTTTTATAAGACTTACTTACTTGTTAGGAATGCCTAGTTCTTCCAGTGCTTCTCATAGTTTGTCAATTCAGTCATAAGCTTTTTTTATAGTCTATAAAGATTCTTAATCAAATTTCAGTTTTCAGTTGCAGGTCTTTATCAAATTTATAATTTAGCCATTATCTGTCTCAGTGTAACAATATGGTCCAATGTCGATCTACCTTTTCTCAAAACAGCTTTGACATTCCCCGACTATTTCATTTATATATTTTCCGTTAGTGGTTTGATGTTTCATAGAATAGCATACATTTCCCAAAAAACCTTCGATAATTTCCATGTAAAGATTGGGATTGTGCCGATGGCATCCTAGCGGTAGTGATGAGCGGTTTGATAACGAAGTGTAGTTCTTTGACGCACGTGTGGTTTGTTTACGACGTGCACGTCGTTGACGTACTTGCGGTTCGCTGACGACGTGCCGTTCTCTGCGTTAACGGGCGGTTCGCTGACGACGTGCGGTTCGCTGACGACGTGCGGTGCGCTGACGACGTGTGGTTCGCTGACGACGTGCGGTTCGCTGACGTAACGTGTGGTTTGCCAACGACGCATGCAAGCCCGGATTAAGGATCGATTGGGCCCCGGGACACCTGTACACTTAGTGGGCCCCCTTTCAACTTTAACTTAAAAATAATTGTATCATTACATATTAACAAATTTATATTATTGTATAATTTTTCCTATACAACAAATACACAGGGTGTATCATATGTCATTGAACCCGGTTTTTTTTAACAATTATAAATCAATGATATTGAATTTAGTTAAAACAAAAAAAGACGTGTTTCTTTAGATTTAACAAGCAATTTTTTTACAAAATTGTCAACATTTATAAACACGCAGTTGTATCAATAATAAAATCGACTTTATTTTTTCAAATGGTAACCACTATATTTTTCGATGGATTTTGGTAAAACTTTTTTTCTGAATATTTTGACAGTAAAATGATAAATTTTGGTTCGTTAAGTTAGGTTAGACTATGGTTCTCTAAAGTTTAGTTTAATATGCATTAATACTTGTAACTGAAATACCTAATTTATAAGAGCTAAATATTTTTTTCTTATAACTACCTTTTTGTATACTTAAATAGTTAAATCGGTAATCTAAAATGCTCAAAAAAAAAAAAAAAAAACATATTTGCTGGCAAACATTATAATTCATTATTTATAGTAATTTTTTGTGGTATAAAATGGAGAACAATTTTATTTTATAATTTTATTATTAACTAGCAGGTGTTACCAGGCTTCGCCGGGGGAATTTTTTCTCTAGAAGTCAGTTTCAAATAATTAACTATTAACCTAGATAAATATATAATATGGGTATAATAGGATAAATATGATATTAGGATGAACAATAATTAATATTAGAAAATAACAATGGGATAACAATAGAAAATTGAAAAGTTATTTATTAAATATTTTTTTTTTTTTCCAGAAGTGTAATATCATGTTATGGCATATCATGTTCATTCACATCATCAAATAAACATCCTTTATTATATTTTCTATTAAACCATTCTTCAAATCTGGAAAATAAATCGTTTACATTTCACATTTGTGTAGAAACAAAATCATTTATTATTTATTTTTACGATCATGTAATACATAATATTTTGCTTCTTACTTTATGTTAGTTGTTTTGTCTACGTCATACGAAACTATTGATTGTCGATTCAATGTTAAATATCTTTGATTTTTGTAGTTACTAATTTTGGTATTCCGTAAGGTTATTTTGGTATTTTGTTTACCCATGAAATTAGTAGCAAATTCATTCCATAATGTTAAAGTTATCTGTAGGTATATTTAAAATTAAAAATTATTAAATAGTGAATAAAAAAAAAAAAAAAAATTACCTTTTCATTACTATCATCGATTAGGACTATTTCTTTTTTATCGTATATTTGGCCATTTTTAGAAAATACATTATCTACTTCACCCACAGCATCAATAACAGCGTTTATATCTGTAAGTGATTAATTTTTTTTTTTTTGGAAAATTTTGATTTGATAATTGTTTTATAAGGTGAAATAATGAGTGTTTCATGATAAAGGAATCACCCGGTATATTTTATAATTTCATACTTATAAATATTTGATCTTCTAGATTTTGAATTAAGTTTATTTTGGTGAACTTAACATTTTCAATGTCCTTTTTTTCAATACGTCTAAATTCTTCTTTCAATCTAAAGAAATTATATTAATATTTTTTTCCTAATTTTATTAAGAACTACCAATTATTTACCTATTCGCCTCAGGAAAGTCAGGATTTATTATTATTTGTGATGCACTTGTTAAAACCAAAGTTTTCTGGGTTTTATACTCACCAATTTTGACATTACTGATGGCTATAATATCATTCTTTTTCCCTTCAAAATTATTAATATTGTCATTCCTCAAATTTAGTACAATCTGCATATAATTTCTAAATTAATAATTAATAATACTTATATCTTATATTGTAATTATTGTCTGTTATTATCATTTCTATTTATGTTTTTAAAAGTGGACTATTGCTTAATATATACAAAATTAATACTGTTTTTATTCCTTCGTCAATCAAAATGATTTCTTGTTTTTTATATGTTTCACCATTTGAAGCAGATATTTCTGTTGGTTCTTTAAGGTCATTAATTATTGCAATAATATCTGTAGAACAAGTTTTATAATAACTATCATAATTTTTTCCAAACTTATCTATATCAATTCATTTTACCAATGATGGTGTTTTTCACTTTATTAAAAATTGTATGAATTTTCATAAATTTATATTCTTTTATAATTTGTTCTCTGACTAGTGAGTAATTTTTTTTTGTTCCATTCAAAATATACCACTGTGATAAGCTGTGATTAAAAATAAATTATCAATATATTAATTTACAAACAAATTACAAAATATATCAATTTGCATTCTTATTTACTTTTTTACATCATCTAAATTAGGATTTATTAGAATTTTTGTGGTAAAATGTAAATTTAAACTCTTTATTCCATAATAATCAGAAACTTTGATATTTTTTAAAACAATTACGTCATTTCTATCACCATCAAAATTGTCTATTTGATTTGAATTCCATAACACTAATGAAATCTATAAAGATTTATCGATAAATGATAATAAGTAATACAATACTTTTTTTTAAAATACAATATCTTTTTTACAAAAGATAAATTCTTGTTACCTTTGAATAAGTATCATCAACAATTTCAATTTCCTTCCTTTTTAATTGCATTCCAGCGTTTGGAAGTATTACCGATTAAATATGATAACAAGGGTTCAACTGGACACCTTGGGACTGGTAGTTTAATTTTTCCATTTGCACAACATAAACCAGTTGGTTCGTTTCTGTATTTTAATGCTTGACAATAAGTACATTCATTATCCATTAACCCAATTGAAATATTATTTTCGAATTCATAGTCGGTTTCTGGATTGTATGAAAATGCTTTCATTTTTTAAAATTGTTTAAACTTTGATTTTCTTTGTCTGGTTGGTTCACTACTGTAAACATTAGTGATACCTTCTTCAACATTTTCTTGAGATTCATCTACTTCTTTGTCGTTTTTCTTTTCTTGTACTTTTTGTTTTTATCGAAGAATATGAAGATTTTCCAATAATTTTTCTTTTTCCCATAATTATAATCTATATACTTAAAGATAACATAAACATTAGTATATTTAAGAACAGATCTATAATAATATGTTTTCAGCCAACAATTAATAATAATAAATAATTCCTATAAAACAATGTAATAACCCAGGGCAACCGTTCAATATATGGCAAATTTCCAACGCAAATCTCATAATCCCGGTTTGAACCCCTACCGGTGGCGTCCTGACACGAATATAATTGGCGATACGTTCTTCTTCTCGACGAAAAGAATGTATTGAAAAAAAATTAAATTGAATCGGTCTAATATCTCTTGAGAAAAATGGTCACGATTATCCCGCCACTTAATTTTATTATATAGAATAATAATTAGGGCTAGGATTTATATGCAATAACAAATTGTAAAATATGCATTTGATTTACCAAAATATGCAAAAATATGCAAAAATATGCAAAAACAAATTTTTATTATTTCTAGATATATATTTTTATTATAATTCATAATTTATTATTATTACATTAATTATAAGTTTATATAATTACATCAAATATTAGTTTATATTATTACACGCTACTATGATATGTTGTTTCAAATTTTCAAATACGAACGACCGGTGATTTGAACGTAGAATAGAATTTTACTGACTAAATCTCCTTTCCACATCACACGAGGTTATTGGTGCATATTTGAATGACGCGATTTTCCCTGGAGTTAGATTAATATTAATATCTTCTTCTTCATTTTCATATTCACCGTTTATAATTCTATGAATTTTCAATAGTGTTTTAAATCCCTTATTTTTTTTTAGTATAAAATCCATTTTAGTTTTTACAATTCTGCTGCTCTCCCGTTACATTTATTCAATTTATCTTTCACATTTAAAATAATGTTTAAACCTTCGTCAAGAGATAGTGTACTTTTTTCTAGATTAGTAATAGCTTGGATCAGAAAACAAAAATTACTTTTTAAATAAGCTAAATCATTTTGTAAATGTTTGTCTTCAAACAATTCTTTTGATTTTTTAATTGATTCTGCTTCGTCGTCTAAATGTGATATTACAGATTTTATTGAATCAAAATTATTTGAATAGTGTTCTACTGCATTTAACCATGTACCCCATCTAGTGATAATTGGTTGAGGTGGTAAAGGTAAATTTGGGAATAGTTCACGTAGTTTGATAATTCGGCTGGGAGCTTTCAAAAATACTTTTTTAATTGTCGCTATTAATTTATCAACAGTAGAATATTCATTTCGTAAACATTCGCTAATTCTATGAATCCCATGTGCCAAACATGTTAAATGAATTAAATTAGGGTATAACATAGTCAAGGAATTCGCTGATTTAACCATATTTGGCGTGGCGTCAGAAAAAAGTAATACTTCTTTGTACTTCACTCCTGATGGCCATAATAGGTGCATTGCATCATTAAATATTTTGCCAATAGTTTGGAAATTACATTTTTCAAGTTCTTCACACATTAATAGATACGGCTTTGAATAATTGTCTTCGTGGAGGAGACCAACTATGACGTTACAAACATATCGACCGTCAATGTCCGTGGTCTCATCTATTGAAACCCAAATTGGGCCATCACCAATTTCCGAACGAATACGAGAAATAGTATTTTCATAAATTGCAGAAACATAGTTTTTGCGAATTTTAGACTGGTCAGGAATACATTTACCAGTTTATTTTTCAAAAAAATTTTTAAATTATGAATGATTTAACTTCCATGAAGGTATATCCGATTCTAACATTGCTTGACATAAATCTAGATAAAAATTCGCTTGTTTATTTTGGTTATCTAATGCATTTTTAATGAACGACTATTTAGATTTGGCTTATAAATTAATATTTTTGTTATGCTTGCCTGTATTTAAACGCTATACCACCTGAAAACGTTTTGTTACAGGCACAGCTTGATCACAAATAATACAATATAATATTTTACCATCTGTTTTAAAAACGTCACTTGAAAATTCTTCTACAAATTGACGTAACTTGGCACTTTCACTTTGAACTTTCGGCATTTTATAAAATTGTTAACTGATACTGTTATTAAAACCACTCAATTTTTTTAAGTATAAGTGTCCCCACATTTACGCAATACAAGCCATACTAATGAAATTAAATACGTTGTTAAATAATGTGTAGGTAATCCTATCGGTCGTCCGACCAAGATAAGATTAGATAGGTAATATTTATACTATATATTTACAATTTGACGGATAAACCAAAAACTATCGGTATTATGAAATAAACGCCATATAAAATTAACAATAATTTATAAAAATTTAAAAATTTAAGTTAAAAAAAATAAAAACTCAAAAATCTATAAATATGCAATTATATGCATTGTGTTTAAAATATGCAAAAAAAAAATTGATTTTATTTAAACGAGAGTAAGCAAAATCATGGACAAATCTGACAAACAATCAATTTTTACTTAAGGAAAAAAACATGGAAATGCATATAAATCCTAGCCCTAATAATAATTTACTACCTACTATCAATAATTTTTTTTTTTTTTTTGAAAACTGTATTTGACGCGTTAAAAAAAATATATATTGGGGAAATAGATGGGCCCCCAAAACCAATGGGTCCTGAGACTGTGCCCCACTTGCCCCCCCCCCATAATCCGGGGTTGGAAACACGGTGCGCTGCAGCCGACTTCGTGCGGTTCGCTGACGACATGCGGTTCGCTGCGTAACTGGCGGTTCGCTGACGACGTGCGGATTGCTGACGACGTGCCGTTGCGCTCAGGACGTTCGGTTCGCTGACGACGTATAGTGCCTTGACGACGTGTGGTTCAATGACGACGCGCTGTGCGCTAAAGAAGTGTAGTTAATTGACAACGCGTGATTCGAGTGATAATTCATACATTTTCCCTTAGAGGCTAGATATTCCCATTAGGTGTTTAATATTTCACAGACAAGCTATTTATTATAAAATCATTAATGTCACCCATAAAACTTACTGTAAAAGACTTTCTTAAAACGTGGACTATGCCTACCGGGGACACCACTATAAAAAAAACGCTCCACGCATAATACCTCTTATTGCGTTTAAACAACATGGACGATGTAATGTCTTACGTTTAACAAGCAAATGGTGGTGTGGAAATTTATGCACATCTTTGTCATCATGAATCGTGTGGTTCTAATAGTTAAAATAAATAATTGCAGAGATTTATTACATATATAAAAGTGATCTTAGTTTAAAATAATTTGGATTTAGAGATAATGTCGGTTTATTTATAATATCGTACAAAGTGTCCGCAATTGATTTTTATCAATTTATTTTCACCGTACAAAGTGTCCGCGGTATGCAACTCAAACAATAGATAGTACAAAGTGTCCGTTTACCAATTTTTAAGAACATTTAAAGTTGTTTAAATTTTTTCGATTTGAATTTTCTGCCGTAAATTAACGATCCTCATCCAACGATTTCCTTATTTTGTTTTAATTATTCAAAAAATTATTTCTTTTTTATACATGATAAGATTTTTTAACTATTTTGACTCGTTTTGTGTTATTTATAAACATTTTGAATTTTGAATTTTTTAGTTGTTTTCTATAAATGTCAATAAAATTTTTTTCGTTTCGTTATACAAGTTGAAAATGTAATACGCAGCGTTCCTTATCAGTGATTTTAATAACCCTTAAAAATATTGAAGTTACATAATCATGATTGTTTTTATAATCAATTATATTTGAAATGTAGAAAAAATTACCTAATCTAATTCTCGAAAATTTGTAAATTATTTTGTACTAATTTTAAATTTTTGTAGCTAAGAAAAACAAGGTATACCATGAGTAGTTTATGCGTTCACCGAAAAAAATCGAAATTCATAAACGCAGTGTTTTGTTACATATATATCTTAAGTTCAAATTTGGATGACACATTATATTTTATATGATTATATAATATAATATTTATAATATGTTATTACTTATTTTGTTGAAATATTACTATTATTAATAATACTTGTTGTATTATACTATTATACATTGTTTTATGCAAATTATAGGAATTAATTCAATGGCTAGGTACCGTATAATGGTACAATAAATAGGTATATTATAAGATATCTTTGGCTGACACATCGTCTCTACTCAGAATCTTCTTTTTTGTGTACAACGATATTATATTATCATTGAATTCAAATTCAACACCATCCACTACAGGTGGCATCTCTACTAGGTAATTGGGCAAATGGGTAATGGTCATCAATGATAAACATTACGTGTCTAGAGATTCTCTATCATTGATGACCATTACCCATTTGCCCAATTACCTAACTATATACATATAGATATAATATACCTACAGTTTTGATGGCATACCACAAACGTTAAATATAACAAATATATTACGATAAGTAGGAACCTAGTTGAAAATTGATCGTCGTGTTGTATTTAATTGCTACTCAAACATTTTCAATAACTTAGCTTTTTTATAGTGTTATATTTTGATTTTTTTATTACAATAAGTTCCATAATTATTACATTGTTATTAAGTAAGTACATTATTAGATTATTAGATAATTACGTTATTACATTAGGTACTTATAATTTGTAAGTTATAATAACGTCTGATAATTTAATGATAATATTGTTTTATATTTAATTATTCAATGCTAGGTATTACCCGTCGTAAGGCAGTAAATACAATATTACGAATAGTAGTTAAAAATTGATCACTGTATGGTATTTAATTGCTACTTTTTCTCTAAATATGTAAACATTTTTTAAATCTAAACTTTTTTCTAGTGTTATAGGTACGAATCCAAGACCCCATTTCATCAAAATGGTTAACTATACCTATTATGCATTTAGTTTTTCAGGGCTTAAAATGATTATAATAGTCTTATAGTGAGACTTTAATAACTCACAATAATATTGTAACGGTATTTTGAAAACTTACCTTATAAAAACAAACACGCCAGCATATATATTAGTAAACAGGTTTATTTTATGCACACAAATACAAATTGTTCAACAGAACATAACCATAACTGAGCAATAAGGCCGGACGGAAAGGCCACGTCAAGTCGTCAACGTACTACACTACTACCGTATATACCGGTAACAGAAGATCAAAAAATAGTCATAAAAATCCGACAATTATAAGGGCCTGACAGTTTTTTTTTTTTACTATTACTCGTCGTAAGACAGTAAATATATTACGATAAGTAGGTAGTTGAAAATTTATCGTCGTGTTGTTATTAATTGCTACTCTTTCTCTAAACATTTTCAATAACTATGCTTTTTTATAGTGTTATATGACCCCATTTTCATCTAAATGCATAACTATAAATATTATGCATTAAGTTTTTCAGGACTTAAAAATGATTATAGTCTTATAATTGTGAGACATTAATAACTCATAATAATATTGTGAGTTGTGACGGTAATTTGAAAACCTACATTCTAAAACAAATACATCGGGTATATTTTATTAAACAGGTTTATTAATTTATGCACAGAAATAAAATTAATACATAATATGTTATACAAATGATTCCATTATAATTTAATAATTACAATAGAAATAGAAATATACATTGGTCAGGCCGGACGGCAAGGTCACGTCAACGCACCTACTACCTACTGCCGTATACTCATAACGGAAGAGATCCTCAAGTCCGGCGGGCTACAGGCTGGAGGACGATGGACCTCAAATTCTCCTCCGTTATGGACACACGGCAGTAGGTTTTCAATTCTTTCTCCTCTGCTCCGCGCACGGATGCGCACGGCTTCTGCACAGGGTCACGGCGAAACGCCGACGTGCCGGTCGTCATCGGCGAAGAAGGTGTCCCAAAATTTGCATAGGTTACCGCAGGAGGCGGAGGCAGTTGCGTCCGGACCGGATGTAACGGAGGTGGGCCTGCAGAGAGGGTGAACGACGCGGACGTCACAGCATCAGCGGCCGCTCCCGCGCTCGTTAACCTAAACATCAGTGTGTGGTTTATACCGATGATTTCAGTAGATTTTTTTGTCACATCACCTACACAGACACACGACGTTAGTAATTTATAATACTCGATATTTTTCTATATATTTAACTTTCAAGAACCGAGACCCGCATCTTCAGTCTGCGTAGCTTGCAGCCGTCGGGTTTTTCCTCCTCTTTTTTAAGGCTAGACACTTCTAATCTCAGGCCGTTGATAGACAGCCCGCTGATCGTCGGCGGTCTGTTGAACGGTATATATTGCGTCGGCCACGTGATGTTTTAAAGCCAAACAATTCATTTCAACCACTCTAAAATTATGATGAAAATCAAATAATAAACCGTTTAGCAGTTTCGCGATTATGATTACATTCGATAGTCCTAAAGCCGTTATTCGAAAAAAAAAAAACGAATAATAATAACGGCTTTAGGACCATCGAATGTAATCATAATCGCGAAACTGCTAAACGGTTTATTATTTGATTTTCATCATAATTTTAGAGTGGTTGAAATGAATTGTTTGGCTTTAAAACATCACGTGGCCGACGCAATATATACCGTTCAACGGACCGCCGACGATCAGCGGGCTGTCTATCAACGGCCTGAGATTAGAAGTGTCTAGCCTTAAAAAAGAGGAGGAAAAACCCGACGGCTGCAAGCTACGCAGACTGAAGATGCGGGTCTCGGTTCTTGAAAGTTAAATATATAGAAAAATATCGAGTATTATAAATTACTAACGTCGTGTGTCTGTGTAGGTGATATGACAAAAAACTCTACTGAAATCATCGGTATAAACCACACACTGATGTTTAGGTTAACGAGCGCGGGAGCGGCCGCTGATGCTGTGACGTCCGCGTCGTTCACCCTCTCTGCAGGCCCACCTCCGTTACATCCGGTCCGGACGCAACTGCCTCCGCCTCCTGCGGTAACCTATGCAAATTTTGGGACACCTTCTTCGCCGATGACGACCGGCACGTCGGCGTTTCGCCGTGACCCTGTGCAGAAGCCGTGCGCATTCGTGCGCGGAGCAGAGGAGAAAGAATTGAAAACCTACTGCCGTGTGTCCATATCGGAGGAGAACCGCTGACCATTAGCGAAATCACCAATGACAACAACTGCGAAAATAGCCCTGATCTGGTCGGACCGGTAGAGAATGGTGTCATGTTAAAAGGCGAAGACAGCATCATGTCGGTCGAGGAGGACGCCGGAGTTGAGCCGGCCGAGGAAATCGGAGAGCAGAACAGTTGTGAGCCGGAACCGGCAGAAGCTGGAAAACGCCTTCCACCCAGACGAAGCCGATTGTCCACGGGGTGGAAAAGCGTGAAGCGGGCCTTCCGCTTCCTGTGTTGCTGCGGATGCCGCTCAGACTGACACTGCGGTATTGGGACGAAGAGGACGGACAGGATGACGGCGACGCAAAGGAAGGGAGTGAATACGAGAAAGAGCCCACTTTGCGAATCAGCACCGAATCGCCATCTCGTATCCCCCCTAATGGTTTATTGTGTCTCCTGTCCGTCGTAGTTTTTTTATTTTATTTTATATATTTTGTAATAATTACATTTTTTTACTATTGTTACTTTTTAACAGTAAAGGCGAAGTGATGTGGGGTCGAGGTAATAGGTATGTGAGAGTGCACTTTTGGGGTGATCGGTGGTAAGTCTCCAACACATACGTTTTCCGGCCACCTGCGGTAGGGATCGCAGGATCTCGGACGTCGTGCTCTAGAGGTCGCCGACACGCGAGACCCTCTGGAGTTGTGGCGGGCCCTGACTGCTTCGGTCCGAGAGCGACGAAAATGTCGCGACGATGGAGCTGGCTAGCTGTACCGCGAAGGTACCACTGACGATGACTGCTGCTGCACAAGACGACTCGCGATGGTGGAGACGGAAACCGCAGAGCACACGTCGGCCGAGTGACGGATGACTATAATTATTATACGGTGGCTAGGGCACCATATAATAATAATATATAGTCTTCGTCACTAGCTCCGACGAGCTTTGGTCGCAGTCTTCGCCGTCGCCATAGTCGTCTTCGGCACCTGCAACACCGTCAAGTAGTGCACGTCATCTAGCCAATCGTCGTCAAACCACCGTCGTTGCTCTCGCAGCCGTCGTAGTCGGGTTCCTTCCACTTCCATGGTCGTCTTCGCGTCCTCGAGCAAACGCGCCCTCGACCCTCGTCCCCCCCGCAGGACCGGCAACAAGAACAATGTAGAGGTGACCAGTTTATTGCCAATTATAACCTACTCACCATCACGTACCCCTCACCTCGCCTCGTCTTGACTGATGATTTCTTTTTTACATTTTTACATTTTTTCATTTTAATTTATTTTGCCACATTGAGCATCTTTTTTGTTTATTAAAATTATTATTTCTTGTTTTTGGCCACATTGCGCATCTTTTGTTAAAATTATTATTTCTATTTTTCTGCCACATTGAACATCTTTTTTCATTTGTAAATATTATACTTATTATTATTTTTCGGCATAAAAATGTTTCAAAATTATTGTAAAGCACTCATTGACTATATATCAAATAGGTATATCATATCATTTATAATATTATTGAATTATTTATTTATAATCAATTATCTCACACCTCTTGTGTTTTTTGTTTTTTTTTTCATAATTATAAACAGGGTGTTTAAAAATGATATTATTTTTATACTTGACATCATTTATTACTGTATTCAAATTATTATTATAATTTATATAATACGATTGTTATATTATTACAAATTATCCAGTAAAAAAATTATTTTTTTTTATACTGTAAAATGCTGTTTTTATATTTTGTATTAAACAGTAGGTACGATTTTATTTATTACAACAGAATAATGATTGATGAACATTTGATGAATAATATTAACCAACAACTTTTTTGATACGTCGTACCAAACCTCAATAAAATATTATATTGAACGTTTTGGCCTCGTGAAAGTATAAGTGCAAAATATTGTAATGCATCTTTATATTTTTAATTGTTAAATTTTTCACTTGCTACTTTGTTATTTTGAATACTAAATTCATTGCTCCCCCCCTTTTTTTTCGTTTGAACATTAAATAATATTATTATTTTATATTATCGAATTACCTATAGTATGAAATAAATGCATAATGTGATATTGGGAATGACCGATAAAAAGTATATTTTCCGTTGTTTAATAAAATTGGTCAGAAAGGAATCAATACTATAACGTCGGTCACATTTTACCTTAAAAATACGTGCAATTTGTGGATATTCAAAACACTTGGCAGAGGTAATACATTCTTATGACACTGGCTAAGTCAATAAAAACCTGTAAAATCCGAACAAGTTATTTGTTTGTTTGGTTTTTTATTCTGGATATTTAACCCCCAAATACCTAAAAAAACATAGGGTCAACGTTTCGGGGTATGTAGGGATGAAAAACATAAATTTTTATCCCTTACTGAAAAATATAAATATGTTGGACACAGACAAACTGGGTTACGTTGGTCATTTATCGTTAAGAACGAACATAATATATGTGGATGTAATTATATGGACATCTCTAAACCAACTGGGTAAAATGAGAAATTTAGTATATAGTTAGAATTTGAATAATGTGTTATCCCAGAAATGTTTAAAAATAATATACAAACTGTAACATTAATTTTAAATAAATAAACTACGTAAGTTTGGTTCGTATTAATAAATGCTTTGTAACACGAATACAGAAACTTTATAATAAAACTTCTGTTAAATTTTGTTCAAAAATATATTGCACACAATATTGATTTGGGTTCAGACGTTCAGTAGCTATAAACATATACAATATACAATTATATAATATCTTTATTTAACTTATAAACGCTCAACGAGCGCCCGACCGCAGTTATGGTCGTGCGGAGCGACGGAAGACGGCGACGGTACGGTGGCTAGTAGACGTACCTGCGCGAGCAACGATTTCTCCTCCAATTTACACCGTCTTGGTACGATGGCGATAGTGATTCGGTACGACGGACCCGCGGAGACCTCGGCACGGGGTGAGTGGTACGGAGATTTGCGTGCTAGAAACACGGGGACTTCAGCGGCGCCGGACTCGTAGAAACTTGAACGTTTCCGGGTCTGGCGGCGCACGGCGGCCGAAGGGACAACGCCAGGGCGAAAACTACCGGCAGCCAATTACTTCACTGTGGTCCGCTGACTCTCTCCTATTCGCCCCGAGGTAATCCCACATTGGCGGCTTCGCTCGTCCACACCGGTTCCGCAGCACAGAATCTCACTTTGCTCGTCCCGCGTCTTGGTCTTTGCCGTCCGTTGGCTTGATCGTCACGCCGTCTACCGTCGATACGCTCACAACATTACGCACTAGCCGACTGGGCAAAGTCGTCAAGCGTTCGAGCGAACACGCCAGCGACACTCGTCAACCCGTGGGAGAGGTCGGAGAACGTGCAGAGGTGACCAGTGGCTAGCAAAACTGCATTTTCGCACTAATCGCCATCTCGAATCCTCCACCCTTGTTTATTGTGTCTATCATGTGTCCGTCGTATTTTTATTTTTAAATTTAAGTTATTCCAAATTCCAAATTGTTAAATTGTTTCAGCCCTTTTCTTATAATAAACATATTTTGATGTGAACAAAAAAAGTTTAATTTTAAGATAGATGGCTAATTTAAAAAGGGTTAAATGTGTTTTATTCAATTTATCAGATTTTAGTACAGTTGGGTTAGGATTTTATATTCATTGATTATATTAATCCACCGTAAGTGGAATTAAGTAAAAACGATAAACTTAGTATAACTTTAGTCTTTGACACTCTAGAGTTAAATCATACACTTACGTACAAACAGCACGGGGTCCGGGATCCACCACAGGTAGATTGCTTACCTGATAATTAATATTAATATATATATTGATATTAATATACTAATATAATATATATTAATATATATTAATATACTGCTGCGAATCAGAATTTTTATTCCGGGCAACGAAAAAGTTAAGATAAGTTTTGAACACCATACACCCAATATTAAATAACGAAT